GTTTTCTCCGAACTGCAGACTGCGAAAAGAAAATAGGGGTTGTGGATCTTCGGCTTCCTACTTTAGAGAGAGAAGCAGGGTCTTTGGGTGTGCTTGGAGTCGTCGGTGTGTTTCCTCCCGAAGAAGTCACCGGAAACGATGTGTAGAAATCCATAGGTATGGGGGTTGTGCTTCTACGGCTCGAACTGCTTGAGAAAGTCGGGCTTGGAAGTGGGCTCGTTCGGCTTGTGGTACGTGAAATGAGTATCGGTTTCGAAATTTGCATTTCTATTTCATTATCGTCATTTTTTTCTTCTTTCTTCTTCTTCTTGGGTGTTTTCGTTTCGTGATCTCCATTGCATGCATTATCTTCTTCCCTCTTCTTGATGCTAAGAGCCTGAATGAGAAAAAAAAAATTGTTAAAAGAGATAAACATGGTTTTATTTCACATGCTATCGGAAAAATTATTATTTTTTCTTCTTTTACGGGAAAAAAATATATATATATATTTGGGTGGTTACCCTATAGGCTTCGTTGATGGAAGTGAACTTGTCTTGGGCTTCGGCTTTGTTGGAGGGATTCCGGTCGGGGTGCCATTTCATGACAAGGGATTTGTATGCTTTGCAGACATCGGAGAGGGATGCGGTCTTTTGAATACCGAGAATGCCGTAGAAATTCGATGTTGGTGACTTTGAATGATCTCCCATCAGAGGGGAGAGAGTTGGTTGGGAGGGGGGTGTTGCAGAAAAGGGTAGAGAGAGAAAGAGAGGAGGGAGAGGTTGCAGATAGAGAGAGAGAGAGAGAGAGAGAGAGAGAGAGAGAGAGAGAGAGAGAGAGAGAGAGAGAGAGAGAGAATGGGAGGGGGTGGAAGAAGGAAAGGTGAGGGGAGATTGTTTGAAAATGGATGAAATGCCAAAAAATGGAGATATTGCCAAATTAAGTGTTGTGAATTATGAGAGAACCAAACATGCCAGCACGAAGCGCTTTGTTAGGAGGCCTTTTCTTAGTCATCGATGCTATCTAGCTATTAAATAATTAAAGTCTTCTTCTAAAATCCTCAATTGAAGTTATATTTAGAAGAGGTCAATTATGTATTTTACAAAGAAAAAAAAAAAAAGTCATGTTGCCCCTTCTGTGGCATGTTTGGAGCTTTACCTTTTAAACTATTTTTTTTTTCTCGTTTTGCATTAGAGATGACAATGGGCGGGCTGAAAATTCATAAAAACCGTACTCGTACGTCTATGCGGGTAAAGATCCGTTTGGTACCCATTTCCCTCTTGTTTGATAGCGGGTGGGTAATATTCGCTAAATTCAGAACGAGTACTCTGCAGGGATGTCAATAGGAAAGGCACCAACCCGTATAGCTAGATTTATAATCAGAATCGACCCGTTTGGGACGGTTTCGGATAAGGTTGTGTTTTCAAATTTTTAGAAGCGGCCGGTTCTTGGTCGAGTAATAGGTCTTTCCGTCTTATAGTAATCGACCCATAGTTGACCTTTTATCATAGTATATTTAACAATTATACATTATTTATTTCTAAAAAAAATAATTTAGAATTTCGACTTTTCTAAACTTTCACTTTTCATGTTTTTTTTTTTCTATTTTCCCTCTCTTTTCGCCCTTTCAATGTGTGGAATTCATTTCTCCCGAGTCATCCCTACCACTTGCCGACCACCGTTGTCGATCTTGCAGTTTGAACTTTATTCAAAAGTAATGATATATTTGTATCATTCATTTGATTTTGAATTGTGTAGGTTGTAAATGTACGAGTAATATATTATGAAAGCGAAAAAATAACGGTCGAACGAGTCTGACGGATTGAACCGATTAAACTGGGTGTGGGTCGGGGTAGGTCTGGGTATATATTGAGGCAAATTGGGCCGAGTCTCGGGTTTAGTCACACTCATTATACTTTATAATCATATATGTGAAAGGATGCTATACAATATACACACATCAAAACTATGTTCTAATTGCACTACCATACAATGGCCTGTCAGGAATATCAGGTACATCAATATCCCCTTCCAACATTTTCAAAGCATCCGATATGGTAGGCCTCAAAGAAACCATCAAATGAGCACACAAAACCCCCACCCTCACAAATCTCTCCATAACCATCAAAGGGTATCTTCTAGAGGATTCTCCCCCACCCCCCGAGTCCAACCGAGGATCCAACACTCTCTCCACCCCGCCACCTTTCACCGCCGGCCAAACCCAATCCGTAATCAAGAACTCCGACGAAGAAAAATCGAGCGCCTTCCTCCCGCACATAATTTCAAGAACCACAATCCCGAAGCTGTAAACATCGCTCTTCTCCGTCAGTTGGCCGTAGAGAGCATACTCCGGCGCTAGATACCCGTGGGTCCCGCCTATTCGGGTCGTCAGGTGGGACCCACAGTCTCCCGCTTGTCTCGCGAGCCCGAAATCTGCGACCCGAGCTCTCATACGTGCATCTAGAAGTATGTTTGTGGGCTTGATATCCCTATGGTATATAGGTGGATTAACACCATGGTGGAGGTAAGCTAGTGCATTAGCCACATCAAGAATTATGTTCTTTCTTTGAGGCCAACTCATTGGCTTACTTACATTATTTTTATTGAATGGGGATTTTTTGTCAAGTGGGAATAAATGGTCATTTAAATTCCCATTTGGCATGTAGTCATACACTAGATACTTCTGGCCTTGTCCCGAGACACAACACCCTCTTAATGGGACAAGGTTTTTGTGCTTGAGAGTGCTGATGATCTCGACTTCTCTGCAAAAATCGGAATCCCCTTGAAAATCGGAATCCATTAGTTTCTTGACAGCAATAATATTCGTGGCTTCACCATCTTTCACTAATTTTCCTTTGTACACGGCTCCGAACTGACCTTGTCCGATCAAATTCTTGTCCGAGAATCTATTGGTCGCCCTCTCGAGTTCTCGAACCTTGTACCAAATCGAATCGGCCTTTGGCCTCCAATTCAGCAACAAGTCATCCTCAAAATCAAACTCCCAATTCGGAATTTCCCGCCCTCTTGTCAACCAAAAACCAACCAAACAAGTCACCACCAAGAAAGCAGAACCGCCTCCGAACAAGCTGAAAACGAGAGCCCATTTCGACCCGCTCGTTTTAGGCAAGTTCAGAGGCAGACCAAATATGCAAGAAAGTGCACCGTTACTAAAAGGGCCATGCTCGTTGACCACACCCGCAGCATAAAGAATCGTGTAGTAGAAGCAACCCTTCGAGTGAGAATCATTTCCATCGAAACCGAGCAGTTGTGATTGAACCCTAAACCCGGATAGCACACATGCATCACATGCGGAGAGATCAGACAGGTCTTGACTGCAGTCGCTGTCGAGGGACGTGGGCCCGTTTCCTAAAACCGTGAGCCAGTCTTGTTTCGTTTGGATGTTTGCACAAACGTTTGTTGTGTTGACAAAATTCTGTGGATCGAAGCATTGGGAGGCGAGATTCGGAGGGAGATTGAGGCGGTCAAGTTTAGTTTGGAAATTCGAAAGGCATGAGATTGAAGCTTGAAGACTTTTGAGGCGGAATAGAGAGGTCGTTTTCAGGTGTTGGGCGACGCCTACGCCGTATAGGCTGGTCAGGGTTTGGCAGCAGTTGGTAGTTACGTTGTTGTTTTTGTCGTTGTTTTCGCAAGAAGAGGTGTCCCATGGGATTGTTAGGACATAGTTTAGGTCAATAGGACACTGCGAAGAAGAAGCATAACTTTGTGACAAAATAGAGAGAAATGCAATACTTATGACAAGAATCATTTTTTTTCCTTTCTTTTAAGACAAACACTCACCTACTTTGTCATTAGAATTGAAGTAATACATTACACATGATCAAGAATCATGTTTTTTTTAGAGAGAGGAGAGAGGAAAACACACACTGAGGTTTAGAGCTTGGTCAAGATTATATATGTATGTACAAAATATTGGAGGTTTCTTGGTTACTTCCTAGGCAAGAAAGTAGCAAGAAAGAGCCTTGATAAGGATATATGCACTATAGAAAATTTGAAGTCCGGCTCTCGGAAATTTCGACAAAATGTGGAGAGTTGAAACTTAGGATATATTTTGTGTGGGTGACAATGATTTATATGCTCAAAAGTCGCTTTAACTTTAGCTAATTATTAACATATTAACAAGTAGCAACAGATTAATCATATATATATTTTGTAAATAATAAATCAAGATTCAAACTTTAGTAATCAATATTTATCTGAGGATTTGTTAATGAGATGAGATGATGGTGAAGTGGACTGTTTCTTGTAATATATATATTTGTGTGTGTGTGTCTAAGCTATAAACTATTTTTTTTTTTTAAATTTATTTAAATTTGTTTTCATTTGGCTCGGTAGAGCAACGTGTTGGTAGGGACAGTATAGTAAAAAAAAATCCACCCTTACTACTAGTTACGAGACCCCTAAATATTGAGGAACCGTGAGTCGATCAATGTCTCCAGACGTAGCGGGCTTGTGGCTCCGTCATATCTGTAGTTGTGTGTGGATGTGTGGCGGTATCGGTATGGTTCGTCTCCTCGGACCTAGCCATCTAACGCATAGGTAATAGTGGGAAAATCGGACAAAATAATTATGTTGCGAAAATCCGACTAAGCCGGCGATTGTGGGATCTCATCGTTTGGCCGTATGAGATCCTTATTAAGGGAGGTCTTTGTAATATTTTAACATACGAACGTCTATATAATATTAGACATAAATCTCAAGGGATGAGAATGTAATTTACTCAATATCTGGTTAAAAGTAAAAATAAATTCAGTAAAATCAACTTCATAAAGGGTTCAATGTTGACTGCTATTAAACATGAAACGAGGTATTCGTAATTTCCAAAAGCAAAGGAGTCGATTACACCAAACATTAGAAAAAAAAGTGTTTCTTTTTTCTATTAACAAGAGAATCTGCAGCTACTCGAAGTGCATTGGTTAAACTTCGCCCTCATGCAACAACCTGCGAATCACACGAGAACATTTATGATTTCCCCTTTTTATCTCGTATAGACTACCATCTTCCAATTATGAATTAATTAATCCATATATTATTTGAAAAATCTTAAATATATTAATTATTATTAAAAAAATCAGCATATGCATTTACAAGCATACGAATCCTTATTTAAAGAAAGGATCAACTCAACTCAAATTAATAAGTTACTCAAAAAAAAAAAAAAAAAACTCAAATTAATAAATTACTAAATCAATAAATCCATAATATATTCCACTTTTAGTACATTTTTCATACTATAGTTTTGTAAAATATTTATTTTCAAATATTTATTTAAAAGAAAAAGAAGGAATTGGCCATACCATCATTAGATTCATTACCAACCATAATTGGTCAACTTCCTAAAGCCAGACTTCTATATAAAACTCCACGTCAACAACCAATGATAAAAGGCCACGTCATAATTTGTGACACGAAGGCAACTACCACTGTGAAACTACTAATATACCCTTCTATTTCCAAGTAAAAGACCAAAATACCCTTGTAAGCATTATGCAGTTCTGACAGGTGAGAACCCTATACCACGGTGTAGTAAATCGTAATCTCACACACACACACACACACAGTGATTCAGACTGTAAATCCAAACCCAAGTCGTTCGTCTCCCTTCAGTGTAGAATTAATACACAGTGGTAACACGGAGAGAGAACCGGGGAGAAGGGAGAAACAATTTGAGGACCCATTTGAGAAATTGATCTTATTGGATGGAATGGTGTTTTGATATGATTCAATCTCGAACAAATTAGGGGTGGGAATTTGATCAAAGATTCAATAATGGGGAGATCTGGGTTTTGCTTTTTGATCCTTATAGTTTTCTGTATTTGTCTTTCCGGCCACTCGGTTTCTGCCCAGAACCGCAGCAAGCCCAAGAATGTGCAGGTGGCTCTTAGAGCCAAGTGGTCTGGCACACCACTTCTTCTAGAAGCCGGGTATGTGCTCTCTCTCTCTCTCTCACACACACACACACACACACACACACAGACACCATTTTCATTGTTTGTTTATTGTGTTTCACCGAGTATGTGAATTGACGATGATTCTTCAGCATTTTGAAATTGGATATATAGTGTGGTGTGCTCGTTGTCTTTTTCGTATTCGCTTTAGCAATCTGCGTTTGTGTATGAAAGTTCTTGATCAAATGATAATCACTAAATGTTAGGAGGTTTTAGACTTAGATTTTTCGAGGCGATTAATCCTTAAGCCGGTCAATTGGATGATTCCAGTATTCTAGTAGTAGTTTCTCAATGTGGGAGTTGATGACAGGGTAAGGCAAGAACGTAAATTGCTTGAATTTTAGAGATACAGCAATGCCTGCTATTATGAGTACGCAAATCCGATGCTAGAACTTGCAATTTTACTCTGGCTTGTCTGAAACATGCCTATATTCACTCTGACAAGAATCAGTCGACTTTGTGGTGTTTTATGGCAATATGTATTTGTTGACTGACTTATTATTTCCTTCACAAAGCTGTCATCTTTAATTCACTATGGCAACACGTTTTTTCGTCTTTTGCAGGGAGTTGCTATCTAAGGAATGGAAAGACTTCTTTTGGGATTTCATCGAATCATGGCTTCACTCTGATAATTTAGACACGGAATCTAGTACCGCAAAAGATTGTTTGAAGAAAATCGCCAAATTCGGCAAATCTCTGTTAACTGAGCCTTTAGCATCAATATTTGAATTCTCCCTCACCCTTAGATCAGCTTCACCTAGACTAGTGTTGTACCGACAGTTAGCAGAGGAGTCTCTTTCGTCTTTTCCTCTAACAGATGACGTGGCCCCAAAAACAATCGAACAAAACGAAACTGCAAAAACGCTAACTTCCGAATCCTTTCTTTCGGGCAGTAACCTCAAGAGTCCTGGGAATAAATGTTGTTGGGTCGATACTGGTGGTTCACTGTTTTTCGAAGTGGTGGATTTGCTGACGTGGCTAGATACTCCTAATGATGTGTAAGTTACATCAACTCAATCTTTAAAAAAAATAAAAAATCTTATATTCGTGAACTTACGTACTTGTAGAAACTCGTTGATTTTGCAGTTTTCATAACCGTAATTTACTGTTTTTGTTGACAGAACGGATGGTGCTTTTCAACAGCCCGAGATTTTTGAATTCGACCATGTCCATCCCGATTCGACAGCTGGAAGTCCCACGGCAATTCTTTACGGAGCTCTTGGGACTGAATGCTTTAAGGAATTTCATAAAGTATTGTCAGAAGCTGCTAAAAAGGTCCAAACACGTAAATTTATTATCTTCTAATATGCATATACTGGAATGTGACTAATTATTAGGGTAATATTATGGATTGGAATCCTCATTTATGATTTCCCATGATTTTTTTCGATTATCTGCTGATGGGAGTTTTTACACTCAGGGAAGGGCAAAGTATGTTGTCAGATCTGTATTGCCTTCTGGCTGTGAATCGAAAACCACATCCTGTGGAGCCATAGGTACGAAAGAACCTCCGAACCTGGGCGGCTATGGTGTGGAGCTTGCCTTGAAGAACATGGAGTATAAAGCTATGGATGATAGCACAGTAAAGAAAGGTAAGTTTTTTGTAGCATATGATTTCCATCATATGAAACAGAGCAAAGCGTAAAGGCATCGGTCATAGTCAATGGGATGACTTATAATTGACTTTCCAATTGGTTAAATTGCAGTTATCACTCTATTCAGCAATACTATTTTGGCTTAATATGTTTTTAGTTATTGTCAAACACTACCTTTAAAGATCATCGGCAGATTAGCATACGATACTGCTTTTCTCGAGCGATTGCTGAAGATTTTAATTTTCATACAGATTAGCATATGATGTTGCTTTTCTCGAGGGATTGTTGAAGATTTTCATTTTGATACAGGTGTAACTCTGGAAGATCCCCACACTGAAGATCTCAGCCAAGAAGTCAGAGGATTCATATTCTCCCGGATTTTGGTTTGTTTATTCTCTCACCCAACTAGATGTATGTTCAAACTTGTGCAGTTAATGCAGTGTTAATTTATGTTCAAACTTATGCAGGAGCGCAAACCGGAGTTAACATCAGAGGTAATGGCATTCAGGGATTATCTGTTGTCAGCTACTGTTTCTGATACACTAGATGTTTGGGAACTGAAAGGTAATTTCTCGTATCGTAGCTTAAAAACATTAAGTATGAGATTAATTCAGTAACTATTTTAATTACATATGTTGCTACACTGCACAGATTTGGGACATCAAACTGCACAGAGGATAGTGCACGCCTCTGATCCTTTGCAGTCAATGCAAGAAATCAATCAAAATTTCCCAAGTATCGTTTCTTCATTATCTCGTACAAAGGTATGAAATTGTGCTTCAAAGTGCTTCATATTGATCGAAGTTCTTATCGTTTTTGCACTGCGAATGCGAGCGAATAAACCATTCACCAAACAGACGGTGTCGTTTTGTCGGACTGATGTTGTGTATATTAATTTTTTTTGTAGCTAAATGATTCCATAAAAGATGAAATTATTGAAAACCAGCGAATGATTCCCCCCGGAAAGTCTTTACTGGCTCTGAATGGTGCCTTAATCAATGTTGAAGATATTGACCTTCACTCGTAATGCTTCCTTCTATGCTATTCTTTTTTCTTTCCTTTCGTTAGCTTTCATTTCCTTCTAAACTTTCCGTCCGCTCCTTATTGGAGAAAAAATAGTTACATAATTAATTCCCTGATTATGTTGACTCCATTAAATATCGAGGTGGAGGCAATGAAGAGGAAGTTGAGTATATTACTGTGTAGAATATTTCCGGTTTATCTTGATTCCATTACATTTTAACCGCATTATTTGTTTAGAGAGGAGCATTCGGTCGATTATGTTTGTTATCTTGACACCATTCCATGAATGAGGTATCATCTCATTATCAAAGATCAATCTAAATCTCCATGCTCTAGCTATTGAGGTGCTGTGGATTATGCAAGGATTAGTATAAATATTAAACACCGATTTTTCTTTGTAGTTAATCATGATTTCTGATTCGTCTTCCTTGATTTTTATTTACGTGGTAACTTAGCTATTTTGGTAGTTGCTCGATGTTCTTTAGATGTTTGTATGAATATTGACCTGACAAAATTCCCGGTTCATGATCTTCATATTGTTGCATTTCCCAGGCTGGTTGACATGGTCCATCTGGAGTTGTCATTGGCTGATCAGTACAGAAAACTGCAGGTATAAAATTCTCGAAATCTCTACAAAATTATAAATTGTAGCGATTATCAATTCGTAAGTTATATATTTTGTACAAATGCCACTGATATTGTTGGTTTTAGTGTTAGTTCGTTGGTCTTGCATCCTTCCCCATTTGCTATGTTTGACTTGATTGAATATGTTTCTGAATCTTAAACTACCGTTGATAAAAAAAATCCCAGATACCTCCAAGCGGTGTGAGGAAATTCCTTTCGGTTTTGCCCCCTTCGGAATCATATGCATTTCGTGTTGATTTCCGTTCGCCCCACGTTCATTACATCAATAACTTGGAAGAAGATGCTATGTACAAGCGGTGGAGAAGCAACATTAACGAGGTATAATTTTTTCTCATTCTGATTAGTGTATACGATCCTTCAACAAAATCACATGACTCACATGTTTCTTTCCGTCTCGGATCTTAGATTTTGATGCCAGTCTTCCCTGGACAACTGCGTTACATTCGTAAAAATCTGTTCCATGCGGTTTTTATTCTCGACCCTGCATCTCTTTCTGGGCTTGAGGCAAGTTTCAATTGTCCGTATCAACTTTTTAATTTTGGTGCTCTTCATATTGATCTCTGACGCCTCTTTGTAATCAATCTGAATATCGCAGGCGATTGACACGATCATTTCCTTGTTTGAGAACAATCTCCCTATGAGGTTTGGTGTAATATTGTACTCTGAAAATTTAATCGAGAAAATTGAAGAAAACGACGGTGAACTTCCAGTTGCTCATTTGAAGGATGACCAGGACGACATTTCTAGTTTGGTAATTTCTTTAGCTGAAAGTTCGAACACCTTATTACATTCTTTAAAAACTTATTTTACACGCGAAGAGCTTCACGATTATTTCGAGTTGACGTGTATAATAGGAACTATAACATGATTTTATTGTAAGGCAGCTAATTTTGCTTATTATATTATTTATACCAACTTGAAAACAGAAAATAGATTGATGCTGGTACATCGAACGAATTGGAGAACACTAAATGGTGTCTGGAAATCATTTATGTTTACGCTTTGGACCTCTGACAATCTCTCTTCTATATGCTGATCATGTGTCGGTTTTGTTTGGACAGGTTATGCGCCTTTTCCTTCACATCAAGGAAAATCACGGGGCTCTGATGGCTTTCCAGTTTTTAAGCAACGTATGTGGTGTTCGATCTCTTTATTCTTAGACCTCTTTCCATGTTCTTTCCATGTTAACTTGTGTGTATTGCGATTATAGGTAAACAAATTGAGAGTTGAGTCGGCTGCAGAAGATAGTCTTGAAATGCATCAAGTGGAAGGGGCTTTTGTGGAAACAATTCTGTAAGACTTTTTAACATTCACAGACTTCGAACAACAGTGCAACATTGCCGTTTTCTTTCTTCCGGACCACTTGAAATTTACTACGCTAAATAATCTTATTAATTTCGAGATAATTTTATTTATGGTTTCCCTCTTCAGGCCAACTGCAACATCACCACCTCAAGAAACTCTACTGAAACTGGAGAAGGATCAAACGTTGAGTGAACTGTCGCACGAAAGCTCCGTTTTTGCTTTCAAGCTGGGTTTGGCTAAGATGGGATGTTCTTTATTGATGAACGGACTTGTCTATGAACCTAATGAGGTACGTCTTAAATTACATCTGTTTAAGATCCCATATTTTATGTCCAACTCAGCTTGAATCTTTTATTAGAGAGGAAAGACAGTTAGCATTAACGTCTTTAACAAATCGATGAATATGAAAACTTAAAAAAAAAAAATTAAAAATCAACGATTACAATATAGGATCGAGCTCTCGAGATTTTTTATTAACAGATGGTGTGAATAGCAGCATTTAATTTGACATGAATTTTTTTTGATCGATCTGCTTTTACCAGGAGGCTCTTATAAATGCCATGAACGATGAGCTTCCCAGAATACAGGAGCAAGTCTACTATGGTCAAATAAATTCTCACACTGATGTTCTCGACAAATTTCTTTCTGAAAGTGGTGTTCAGCGTTATAATGCAAAGGTACATTTTGTTCAAAAGTGTTTCAAGAATGTACTTTTCGTTTTGCCTAACTTAGTAACACCTTTGATCCTATAGATCATAGCAGATGGGAAGGTGAAACCGAAATTTGTGTCGTTGTGTGCATCAATCCTTGCAAAGGAATCGATACTTAACGACCTGTACTACCTGCATTCGCTTGAAAGTAAGTTCTTGTGGAACAAAAACAAAAAATAATTTCAATGTTTAAATTGATTGAAGTTCCTGATTTTAGCGTATGCAATTTCAGCCATGGATGACTTGAAGCCCGTAACTCATCTTGTTGTTGTTGATATGACATCGAAGAAAGGGATGAAGTTGTTACGTGAAGGAATACGCTACCTGGTAATTTTCATGCTGCCATTGGTTGATTTTATAATAAAAAATATCTGATTCATTTTCTGCCATAACAAAATTGATCCAATGTACGTATCACATTCCTCAATATATTTCAACTCCATTTTCCGGAATTGTTCTTGGTTCATTTTTATTATGTTCTAAAAAAATGTTTCGTTTTCTGAAATTGTAATTCATTTCCAAGAGTACCCTTAAAGTTCTGATTCTACAGTTAGTGCCAATTGATTCTTTCAAGTCCATATGATTAAAGATACTGAAACTTCCACTTTTCTACCGTAGATTTTATTATAATTCTTGCTAAATTTGCAGATTAGTGGCTCCAAAATTGCTCGAGTTGGTGTGTTGTTTAACGCCAACAAGGATGCAACTTTACCAAGTCTCGTTTTCATGAAAGCTTTTGAACTAACCGCTTCCTCATACAGGTTTGTCGAATTCTCCTCCATAGTTGCTGATTTTTTCACAATTTGTTTTTGCAAATAATTCTTGGTTTGGAATCTCGCTGTGATTAACGATATGTCGATTATAATTCTCAATTCTTCCTTTATGTACTGTAATGCTATTTTTTTCACCAATTCATGCAAATAATTTATAAAACTCTATGATTAATTAAAGCATTGTTTATATTTTTATTTTCTTCGTAATTTGCAGCCATAAGAAAGGAGTACTACAGTTTCTGGATCAACTCTGTTCATTCTACGAACAGGAGTATATTTTGGCATCGGGAGACACTAAAAGCTATCAGAAAATCATTGATAAAGTCTTTCAGTTAGCAGATGCAAACGGGTTGCCATCTAATGCCTATGAATCTTCACTCTCTGGATTTTCTGCTGAAAATTTGAGGAGTTATTTAAACAAGGTTTGTTCTCAATCTGATGATAATTTATTCATGAGCAACAAATCATGAGTTATTTGGGTCTTATTTGAGATTGTTGATAGGATTGATTAGATGGAGTGTGATTACATTACTAATAATAAAATAATATGAGATTATTTCGTGTGTGGAATTTAGGATTATATTTAGGTCCGATAATTGTGAGTATAAAAAAGATTCATAGCTACATTTAACAAGTCTCAGGTGTAATCATATCTCTCTATATCTGGTTATAGGATAAGATAGATATATTTCGTCGAAGTTAATTAAAGTGCAAAACTATACATTTGACGATATTTGAGTTTCGATCAATGCATGTGCAGGTTGCACAGTTTTTATTCAGGACAATTGGTGTTGAAAGTGGCGCAAGTGCAGTTGTTACGAACGGGAGAGTGAGTTTCTGTTCGTTCTTGATTTAATTCTTGGATTTGGAACTAATCATTACTATATAGTAGTTTGTTGGATCTTTCTCGTTCAGTTGTGTAACAAGGAATAGAAGATCTCTTAAGTTTTGCAATAGCACGATATATAATGTTATTATTGTATTCCGTAGGTAATCCAACTTCTCGAGGGAAGTACATTCTTGAGCCATGACTTGCATCTTCTTGAATCTTTAGAGTTCAAGCAACGAATAAAACATATTGCAGAGATTATTGAAGAGATTAAGTGGGATGATGTAGATCCGGACGTATTGACTAGGTATGCCAAACAAATTACCATTTCTTAATGTCTCTGTGACATCAATCTGTAAATATTATGCTAAAGAAATGTTTTTTTTTTTTTGTTTTTAATTTTCCAGCAAATTCATCAGTGACGTTGTTATGGCTATCTCTTCATCAAGTTCAACAAGGGATCGAAGTTCCGAAAGTGCCCGTTTCGAAATTCTAAGCGCAGAATATAGGTACCCTTCTACTTCTCAAATAGTTAACTTTAAGCGTTAACTACTTAATTCAAGATATCGATCTTGAAAGTTAGTTAAAGGGTTATAGATTTTTCTACAGAGGATGATGCCCCAAAATTTAACTACATGCAATATTGGTGCAGTAGGGTTTCTATCATACATATTCGACTTCCCGTTTCTGGAATTGCTAATTCCTCTTCGAATTTTATTTGATTATTTTTTATTATTTTTTTATTAATTCTGCTAACAAAAATTGGGGCTGAAAGGTTTCATTCACTAAGATCATTTATTTTTTCTACTGTTATTCCACTATTGGCAGTGCTGTTATTATGCAAAACGAACACGCAAGCATTCATATTGATGCTGTTATCGATCCCTTGAGTTCCTCTGGTCAAAAGCTATCTGCTCTTCTTCGGTTTTTGTCAAAGTACGTTCAGCCAAGCATGAGACTCGTGCTCAATCCAGTGGTAAGTTTCTTCTTACTACGTGGCTGAGTGCACGACAACATCCTTAAACTCGTGTTTGAAAAAAAAACTATTTGTTGTCTTCGTGGCAGAGTTCTCTAGCGGATCTTCCTTTGAAGAATTACTACAGATACGTAGTGCCTACAACGGTATATTTCTAATGCCACTGATCCAATCACCCTTTTTTTTAAATCTAGAATCATTTTTTTCATCTCAATATATTCTCGATTTTCAGGATGACTTCAGCGGTACAGATCATACAGTAAACGGTCCCACGGCATTTTTCTCAAACATGCCACTATCTAAGACACTAACTATGAATCTTGATGTTCCCGAGCCATGGCTAGTTCAGCCCCTAGTTGCTATGTAAGTTTATAACAAAAACGTGTCTTTTTTTTTTCCAAAGTTATTTCTCGTTCAGCTTTTCATCTGTGGCTGATTTTTTATTTATTTTTATTTTTGTGTAGACATGACCTAGACAACATATTACTCGAGAATCTTGCTGAAACTAGAACGTTGCAAGCGGTGTTTGAACTCGAAGCTCTTGTTCTTACAGGTATTGTTTGCTATAGTTTGAAGTACGGGTGGAAATTGGAAAGAAATTTCCGAATTCCGCCGATTCTGGTCTGAAAGGGTCCAATTTTGGAACCATTTTTTTCATTCCGATTTCCGATCTTTCCGATTTTTTAGGAACGGAATTGCACCAGATATTAGGTTCCGATTTTAGAAAATTTTGACTTTTTCTGGAATATATAATCATGTATTTTGTATTATACGAGACAAAAAAATGTAACTTCCGAATTCTGCCGATTTCGATCCGAAATTGGATTTTTTTTGCAAATGCTAATTTCCAATCCGATCCGTCCAGTTTCTTTGAAGGTTGATAGTCGACCGTTTTAATAGGAAAAGGAAAAGGTTGATAGTCGTTCGATTAATGCTAACAAAGAAAAACATTGACCAGGTCATTGCTCAGAGAAAGATCACGAGCCACCTAGGGGTCTGCAGTTGATTCTCGGAACAAGAAATACTCCTCACTTGGTCGATACACTTGTTATGGCAAATCTCGGTTACTGGCAAATGAAGGTCTTCCCTGGTTTGTGGTACTTACAGCTGGCTCCAGGTAGAAGCAACGAGCTCTATGTTATGAGAGAAGATGGTGAAGGTGGTCAAGATTCAACTCTGTCGAAGCAAATCACAATAGATGATTTGAGGGGTAAATTAGTTCACATGGAAGTCAAGAAGAGAAAGGGCATGGAACGAGAGAAGCTATTGGTTCCTGTTGATGATGATGATAGCCACTCCACTACTAAGAAAGTAAGGACCGAATAATTTACGTTTTTATGTCTTTTTTTTTGTTTGTATATAATGGGGATTTATTGCATTCAGCACCACTGTGTTTATTCTAGTCGTTAAAAGACTCCTCGAGTTATTAATATTAGCAAACACCCCCCAAAAAATCACCATTTTGGGGGGTTTTATGGTAAAAAGAATGTGTTGTAGGGGGCTTTTTGCTAATATTAATAGCAGGGGAAGTTTCTTAGCAATTAATATAACACACTAGATGCAATAAAGTCGTATATAATGCCTAAAAGAAGACGCTTTTACTGACTGCAAAGTTGACAAATTACGAGTATTTTATCACCGTAATTTCAGGGATCTCAGAATGGATGGAATTCAAATATCCTCAAATGGGCTTCTGGATTTATTGGAGGGAAGGATCAGTCGAAGAAGGAGCCAAACAGTTCCTTGGTGATTAATCCCTTTTTTTTTTAATAATAATTTCCGCTCGATGTTTATATATAGAAGCACAAAGTGGACATGTCGACATTCTTGTTAATGAACTTTTGTCGTTTTCTTGTAGGAACCTAGAAGTGGCGGTCGTTATGGGAAAACAATTAATATATTTTCTGTAGCCTCGGGACACTTGTAAGTTTATTTTCTCTTTTAATCTGCACTAAAAACAATTTCTTTTCTCTTTAACCGTCTCACAAACTTATTTGCCCGCAGGTACGAACGTTTCTTGAAAATTATGATTTTGAGTGTTCTCAAAAATACGCATCGACCGGTCAAGTTTTGGTTTATAAAAAACTACCTCTCTCCTCAATTCAAGGTGTTTTTTTTATACGTTTTCCTCCACTCTTGTTCGTTTTTCACCGTTTCTCTTTGCTATTTCCTATCTTCCATTTTCTTTATTGTATTGTCTGTATATTTTTCGGCAGGATGTGATTCCGCATATGGCACATGAATACGGTTTCGAATACGAGCTGATCACGTACAAGTGGCCCACATGGCTGCATAAACAAAAAGAGAAACAACGAATCATATGGGCATACAAAATCCTCTTTCTTGACGTCATTTTCCCTCTTGCCCTTGAAAAGGTACGTTCGAGTTTCCCCTATGCAATAATATTTCAAGCCTATGAAGTGAATATTTTTATATAAATTAGTATTATTCGTGCAGGTTATATTTGTCGATGCTGACCAAATTGTGAGGACAGACATGGGAGAACTTTATGACATGGATTTGAAAGGACGGCCCCTCGCATACACCCCCTTCTGCGACAATAACAAAGATATGGATGGCTATCGATTTTGGAAACAAGTAAAATTAATTACTCTTGATCCAATTATTTATCAATTATTGCAATTATTTTAATTCCCTTTACTTGTAGAAAAATAGACGTAAAATATGTGGTTGGTGTTTTGACGTTGTTGAACAGGGTTTCTGGAAAGATCATTTACGAGGAAGACCGTATCATATTAGGTATGTGCAGTTTTTTTTCTATTATATTTTCTCGTTCGTTTAGTAGAAAGACTTTTAACGAGATATGTGATGCTTGTGTAGTGCTTTGTACGTCGTTGACCTGGTCAAGTTTCGGGAAACGGCAGCGGGAGATCAATTACGAGTGTTTTATGAAACTCTAAGCAAAGATCCCAACAGTCTTTCTAATCTTGATCAGGCAAGTGAAGTGTTTTTTTTTTTTTTTTTTCTCCGTATATTTTATTATGCTGCAAATATCTGAAAATTTGTGATTTTTTTATTGGCCAATAATAATCCAGGATCTTCCGAACTACGCGCAACACATGGTGCCGATCTTTTCGCTTCCACAAGAGTGGTTGTGGTGTGAGTCGTGGTGTGGTAATGCAACAAAATCGAAGGCGAAAACGATAGACTTGTGCAATAACCCCATGACAAAGGAGCCCAAACTTCAGGTTAATAAAAATTTCCAACTCTAGTTACTTTCGCCGCCTACCCTTTAGTTCTTGATTACCCTCGTATTTACAAAAGTAGGGCGGAAATCAGAACGATCGGATCGGAATTAGCACTTGGAAAAAAAATCATTGTTTTTTTTTTCGGAAATGAAATAATAATTCTAATTCTTTTCCCAAAAGGAAAAATCAGAAAATTCAGAAATTGAAAGGGAAAAAAACTTTTGCACAATTCGGAAATTTTCAGAATCGGCGAATATGGAATTTTTGTGTTTTTTTTTACTCAACTATAGTATAAATACATAATAATATTGATATTTAATGTTTAATTTTCGGAAAGAAATCAGAATTTTTGGAAATATTTTTGTAAATTGAAACCGGATCGGAACTTTTGGATTTCGGATTGAAAAATATTGTTACAAAACCGGAAAAATTCCTGATTGGAATTGGTGGAATCCGGAAATTTGATTCCAATTTCCATCCCTACTTGTATTACTTCGATCTCTTCCTGTCTTTGCAATTAAAAAAAAATGTCTCTTTTGTAGGGAGCTAAAAGAATAGTTACGGAATGGCCGGATCTTGATTTAGAAGCCAGACGCTTCACCGCCAAAATATTAGGTGAAAATATCGAAGAACCCCAAGAGCAAATAGCGCCACCTCATCAAATCGAGAGCACAAACGAAGATTCATCAGAAGACAACGAGTCAAAGGCAGAATTGTGAGTTTCTTTCGATTTCCCATGTGCTTTCGATTTTTCTGGTGTAGGATTTTAGTTACTTCATGTATTAGAGTGTAGTAATGAAATAGCTGATTATTTATGAGAAATATATAAAACATTATTTGTCCTCTAAAAATGGGACAACTGAATTTTGTATGCAACAGGGATATAAAAGTCATTATATATGAAGGGTATAAGTTTTCTTCAGAGTAAATATTAATCTTAAATATTATATAAATTTTTTTTAACAAATTAAATATTATTCTTTTAAATATAAAAAAAAATTGATCTTAAATACTCCATTTGTTCCACAATAACTGTCTCTTTTTAAAATTATTTTTGTTCCATATTATCTGTCACTTTACATTTCCAATACTGCATTAATTGTGTAATTATCAATTTTACCCTTATTAACTATCTTCAACACTCTCTCACATTAAGTATTGACAAGGGCATTTTAGTTAAGAACATATATTTTTCTAAAATTAAGCAACATTTATTGATCTTTAATCCCTGTGCACAAGCTAAAAACGACAATTATATAGGAACGGAGAAAGTATTATATAATTTATTCTTTTAAATTTGTGGAAATGTTAATAATGGCTCTACGTGCTAAATGATTTATTTTATTTAATCATATACAAAAAATATATATTTTTAAATACATTTTGGCGTCCACATAATTCACAAGACAATTAACACGTTAAGTAAAATTTCACCAACTCTTCTGAAAATATTGTTTTGACCATAAATTTCTACTAAGAGTGTTTGTTGACTGTAATTACATTTGAATTTACACGTGCACGAACTAGGGGATTAGTTGACCGTTGACTTTCAAGTCTTTTAGCCACTAAAGAAAGAAAAGAGAATTTGTGATCAAATTTTCAGCATTCACAAATTAGATTGGACTTTAATAATTGATGCTAAGTGATTATTATTGCTAACATTTTTTTGAAGTAAACATTTAGTAGTGTCACATATTGGCAAAGCAAATAATGGAATAAAATAAAGAGTGTTATTAATTATATATATATTTTATGATGTGCTAATTCTAATTTTCAGTCATATTTTTTTAATTTTCGGTCTTCTATTTAGTATTTACATATCCATGTGTATTCGTGTTTTTTGTTTCGTTCGTCGCGTGAATATTCTGATATCGGCACTTCAAAATAAACACTGAAAATGCTTCAAAACTACAATTTTCAGTTTTTTAAAAAACTGTCAGTTGAACGTTTATATTAATTTTTAAAATTGCTGGTATCGAATTATGCATTCAATTATTTATTTATTTAAAAAAAAATTGTCACTTGTAATGAAAGATGTGTTCAACTAATCACTAAAAAGCATGCTGATTTTTGTTGCTTCTATTCTAGGAATCAGGCACCGGCCTAAATATATTTAATTGGCCATTATATATGTATGTGGCCACTAT